AGAACATTACATCTGGCCTGCTTAAAGGAGAGAGAACAAAAAGAACCAGATGTTTCTTAAAGTCCCTGTAACTCAGAGATAATTTCTGTTTAATAGTAATTTTACCTGTGACCCTAGAGGAAGATCTTGGATTGCTATTTCAAATGACTCCTAGACCTGGGGGATCTATGTTTCCTCTTCATCCTAGTTTTCAGATTCAGTGGATATCACCGTAATTCTAAAAAGATCAAAAGACCCAACATCTTGAAAAAAAATTGTGTGCCATGTTAGTTGAATTATGAATTGATGCCATCTTATTAGAGTGCATTTAAAATACACATACTTTTTTATTGAAGTATAGCTGATTTATGTTGTGTTAGTTTTAATATACAGCATAGTGATACAGTTATATGTATACATTTATTCTTTTTCATATTCTTTTTCATTATAGGTTATTACAAACTATTGAATATAGTTCCTTATGTTAAACAGTAGATAAAATGTACATACATTTTGACTTAGAAATCCCTCTTCAAGGACTTGTCCAAGGAAAAGATCCAGTGCACAAAATTCTGTGTTCTAAGATGTTGGAGAAAATATTACTGTCCATCAATGAGGACTTACTAAATAAAATATATGGGCTTGTTAAATAAAATATATGGAGACTTCTGGCTTCTTCAATATGTAAAGAGCTTGGAAGATGTCACTCCCATTGAGGAAGATGGACAAACTGAAAACAAATGACTTTTCTTGAACCCAGCAAAGAAGTGAGGTTGCAGAGTGAAACATCACTCTGAAATCTAGAAATACAGGCAAATATTAAAATTCCCAGCCAAGATTTTCTTAACCTGGAGCCATAACTGGTAGAAATACTTAAATAGGAACTTTTGATAAACTGCTAGAGGCTGAGTGTAGACTAGCATGAGAAAGAGAAGCTCCCTGGTTGCCAGAATTTTAGGAGGTCCCTAAACTTTTATGGCATTACCTACAGGAACATCACCAGGTTGTCATGGTGATGATCCCTTTATTGCTCTGGCTGGGGAAGGGGGAGGGGAATCATCATGAAACAAACAGACTTCGCGTGAACAAAGATCTGTTCTCCAGGGAGACGACTCTGCCAGAGCCCTGTATCAGCTGTGTTTCATTCACACACCAGCCACCTATATGATTCCCACCTCACCTAAGGGAGAAAAAAGAACATAATCAAAAGGCATAAGGGCTTCAAAGAAACAGACTGGCAAACTGAAGCCAGGGGAGGGAATAGAAGCAGAAATTTTTTCAGTTTGTACTCATAGAGAATCACAGCCCAGTCCAGAGACATAGGCCCAATTAGACACTGAGATCTAATCATAAGATTTCAGGGCTCCACTCCTACACTGTGGGTGGAATGTAATTTGGAACAGCCTCTATGGAAAACAATATGAAGATTCCTTTAAAAAATAAAAATAGAATACCATATGATCCAGTAATCCCACTCCTGGGTGTGTACCTGGGAGAAACCCTAATTTGAAAAGATACATGCACCCCTATGTTCACAGCAGCACTATATACAATAGCCGAGACATGGAAGCAACCTAAATGTCCATCGACAGATGACTGGATAAATTAAGATGTGGTGTATATATATATATAATGGAATACTACTCAGCCATAACAATGAATAAAATAATGCCATTTGCAGCAACATGAATGGACCTAGATATTATCATACTAAGTGAAGTAAGTCAAAGAAAGACAAACATCATATGATATCACTTATATATGGAATCTTAAAAAAATGATATAAATGAATTTATTTACAAAATAGAAACAGACTCATAGACACAGAAAACATAGTTACCAAAGGGGAAAGTGGAGGGGAGGGATAAGTTAGGAGTTTGGGGTTAGCAGATACACACTACTATGTATAAAATAGATAAACAACAAGGACCTATTGAATAGCACAGGAAACTATATTCAATATCTTGAAATAACCTATAATGGAAAAGAATATATGTACACATATAAAACGGAATCACTATGCTGTACACCAGAAACTAACACAACATTGTAAATCAAGTGTACTTCAACTTTTAAAAAAGGATTTTAGGGCTCCAGTATAATAATAGTGGGTTGCAGATCAAAGTGCTGCTCTGGCTCTATTTAAAGAGAAATCCTTAGGGAAGCCCTAAGATAACAGGAAACAAAAATAAGAACACTAGGGGAATTTGAATCCTCTGGCACCTACAACTACAGAAAACATTAAACACAACCCAGCTTCTAACCAGATTAACGTAAGACCTCACACTGAAGGCTTATTTACCTCAGGTCTTATTACCCAATATATCACGTGCAGCTTTCATCAAAAAGTTGCCAGAGATGCTAAAATGATAGGGAAAAAATCACAGTCTGAAGAGACAAAGTAAGCACCAGAATCAGACTCAAATACAGCACAAATATCGGAATTATCAGACAATTTAAAACAACTATGATCAATACATTAAGGGCCCTAATGGAAAAGGCAGGCATTATATAGTATCAAATGAGTCATGTAAAGAGAGAGATAAGAGACTCTCAGAAAGAACTGAAAGGAAATGCTAGAAATCAAAAACACATAATAACAACAAAACATAAGAGAAATGAAAAATGTCTTTGATGGGCTCATGAGTAGACCGAATAAGGCTGAGGAAATAATTGGTGAACTCCAAAGACAGGTAATAGAAATTTCCCAGATTAAAATGCAGTGAGAAAATAAAGTGGAGGGAAAAAAACATACAGAATCTCCAAGAACTGTGGGACAGTTTCAACAGGTGTAATAAATGTGTAATTGAAATACAAGAGGAGAAGAAAGAACCGGGAAGATATAATCGCCAAGAATTTTCTAAAATTAAACATATCATGGAATACTATGAAAGAATTAAGAATGATAACTCAGATCTCTATATTTTGAATGAAAAGCTATATTATTGACTATAAGTAGTTTAGGAAACAGCCTGTATATATGCAGGCATACACAAGTATAAAAATTTTTCTGAAAAAATCTTTACAAAAATATAGGTTAGATTTGCTCTGATTTTTATTTTCTTCTTTATGTTTTTCTAAGCTTGAGTTTGTTATTTACACAAAAAGCATCTATTGTATTGTGGTAATCAAAATAAATGTTTTTCCTTTGAAATAAAGAAGGTACAACTTCTCGCTTTGAAGGTATTCAGATGCTGTGTTTGCTCCCTGACCCTAGTCAGCCCCTGATGCTGTGGGCTGCCTCTCACCATAACAATCTTTAAGCTTTCAGGCCAAGAAAAATCTCACATCAAAGGAGTTTATAACCTACAGTGTTCACAGAGACAAAACGGAGCCCAGTCCATTGGAGTTGAAGAAGGTATGCTAGACTCTAGGAACTCAACATTTTCTCACCCCAGTCCAACAGTGTGACAAACTGGCCACCCCCGGGGGGGGGCCGTGTCACCACTGGCCTCATTGATGTCGGTCACTCCCACAGTGGTTGACCAGCCATATCACAGACCCCAAGACATAAGGGGCTGGGAGCTGGAAGCCCATGCCAAAGGGGACAATTTACATTGAATTTAAAATACTTTTTGCACTTATCTGATGCCCTCACTACTTGTGGGAAGGTGGGGTAGAAGGTGGTTTCCCTGATGTTGATGGAGGATGTGGCCAAGCCAACTGTCCTCCCTGAAGGGTGATATAAGATGTCCACTTTGTACAGTGCTCACCCAAGCCCACGCTTGTTGGAGGAGATCATTGAAAGGATGTGACCCCTGGTTGACCCATGAGCTGCATCCAGACACTCAGAGGCTCCTCACCTCCTTTTCTGTCCTTGGAATATATGTTCTGCCCATCATTCCCACAATGGGAGCTGTTCCAAGGATTCAGCCTTGAGCAAGTAATGTGGACATTACTGGATGGTGTAGATGACTGAACCCAGCTCATCAGGGTTCAGTGTACATGGCTGACCCAGTTAAGCCCTCTATATAAAATTTTAAGAGTCCAGTGGGCAGGTGCAGACATCTACTTGCCCAATGCTCATATGTAAATTTCCATTTGTTAAATCTGCCCCCTACTCATCTGGAGTGGCCTGCCTCTTTCTTCCGTCTCTCCTCGCCCTCCATGTATGGGAGCCAGCTCTCAAACCAACATCCCCCAGTCTCCTAGCTCCAACTGTCTTTGTCACTGTCCCCTCTTAGGCACTGCCATGCGAGGGCACATGGATGCCCACTCCGGAGCAGTGGGAAACCCAGCAGAGATATAATCACAGCAACCTGGATGGATTTTAAAAACATGGCTCTGAGTTGGGAAAAAAAAAAAAGTACATATATTTACATAAAACAAGAATGCATTGGCCACAAACAATACACATACCAACAAAAAATTATATATTCAACACACAAAATAGTTCCTGTGGAGATGAGGGATATCAGGGAGGCAGGAGTGACAAATGGTAATTTAAGAAATTAAAATGTAATAAAAATAAAGCACCCGAACTCCTCCGCTCTCAATGTCTTGCCCTGTTTGGACACCTAAGAGGATGCATAGCTTCCAGAGCAATCCCTAGCTGTTTGGTGCCCCTTCTCCTTCCCCACGGACTACCTCCTTTGTCTGTCCCACTTCTTTTCCTCCAGGACCCCCAATGTCAATACCAATGCCTTTATCCGTTCACTCCACGCATATCCTCCTTCTCACTCTTACTCACACCTCTGGTTTCTCAGTCTCTGACTCCTTCAGTGGGATCTTGACCCCCCCTACACACACACACCTCCATCACCATCCTGATGAGACCCTGATAGGACAGAAAACTAACAATATAGCCCAAAGACTCCTTTGCCTGCTCGCCTGCCTTCTCTTTTTTTGTCTCCTCGCCTGCCTTGTCTTTTTTTGTCTACCACTCTCCTTCCCTCTCCCGGAGTCCTTTCCTCTTTCTCTCCCTTTAAGGCACTGTTGCCAGCCCTGGAAGCTCTGGGGCCTGCCGGAAGTGGAGGCAGTAACCACTCCAGGACGCCCCCCGGGAGCTCCTCCCCTTCCGTCCTAATCTCAAAGTCCAGCTGGTCAGTGAGCAGTGGAGCCCTTCCTCCGAACGGCTTCCGCAGGGATTTGCCTCCTGCCTGGGAGACATGACTCTAGCCTGGAGACATGTGCTCAGAGCTTTGCACCTGGAGACCTCATCGTCCAAGACCCCCAAGACGTGCCCTTCTCTGAGCCGTGAGTGGAAACCAGGGGGACATGGGTCAGCAAAGAGACAGTGGGAGGGCAAGGGCTGAGCTCTGGAGCCCGGAGCTCTGGAATGTTAGACCTGGATGGGGTCGTAGAGACAGGTCATCTAAGACCTGTGGGCTAGACCTCACCCTGTCAGACCCAGTGTCCCCTTCTCACGTCCAGTGTTTTGTAATGCTTTCTTTTGTCCTAAAATGAAATTTATGGGTAATAAAACCCAACTATACACAATTTCAAAGCAAAAACAGTCACTGTAATATAAAAAAGAAATAAAAGGAAAGCAATTCAAAATAAAGAATTAGCTGTAGTACGTGGATGCTTGAGGATAACTACTTTAAAAGCCATGAAGCATCCTCACAAATTTCCACCATGCCCTCAGGGGGTGGCACCACCCCCTCGATTACTGACAAGGAGATGGAGCCCCACAGAAGTACGGTCATTTGCCCAAAGTCACCCAAGTCAGGACTAGACCCCGAGCCCTCTTCTCCCACTCAGACTCTTCCTTTTTCTCCAGCAGGAACAGAAAATATGAGGAGACCTCTGTAGCCAGTCATTGGTGACTTCATATATTATTCATATATATATGTATACATGCATCCTACATGCTCGAGGTTTTCACATGTATCTGGTTTCCCTAGCAGCCCCCGCCTCCTCACCAGCTACCCTGGTGCAGACACGAGCATCAGCATCTCCACGCTGATGTGCTGTCATGGGACCCTGTGCCCCACAGGCCCTAAACACACAGAGAGGACCCTTTTCCGTTCCTCAGCGTGATCAATTCTATCTTGATTTTTCTCCTCATCTTTCCTTTTCCTCTCTCCTTCCTTCCTCTTCCTTTTTTTTTTCTTAACATTTGCAATTCTTTGGAACCAAATACATATCTGATGCTTTCAATGCATTATCTCCTTTCATCTTCAACCAAACTTCTCAGGGAGTACTACTGTCTCATTTCACAGATGAGGAGACAGAAGAATAAAGGATAATTAAGAAATCTGCAGACTCATAGACATAGAATACAAACTTGTGGTTGCCAGGGGGATGGGGGGTGGGAAAGACTGGGATTTCAAAATGTAGAATAGATAAGCAAGATTGTACTGTATAGCACAGGGAAGTATATACAGGATCTTGTGGTGGCTCACAGCGAAAGAGAATGTGACAATTAATGTATGTATGTTCATGTATAACTGAAAAATTGGAATTTGGAATTTGACACAACATTGGAAAATGACTATAACTCAATTAAAAAAAATGTTTATATAATCTGGTCAAAGGCAGAAACAGAAGTGACAACTTGGAATTCAAAGCCAGTCTGTCTGACTCCGAAGTCAGCATGATTCCGCCAGGCCCTTTCTTACCTGCTCTTCTTCCAGTTCTGTTTGGACTTTTTTTTCCCCTCGGTCATGGGTCTTTTGCCAGAACATCATTAATTCTAACATTTTCTGAGAAGGAGCTAGAATTATACCCAGAGTCTTGTGCTCAGTAAGGAGGATGCTGCACTGAAAGTAACAGCTGTTGACAAAGCAAGAAGAATATCCTCTCTGCTGGCCCTTTCCCCTTCCTGCCCCAGCCCCAGGGGTTGTGGAGCTGGGCTGATGGTGGGAGTAGGTGTCTTAGAAATCTTAGAAATGGCACATGAGGTGCTTAGAGATCTTGATCGACTCACTGGGGCCCAGGCAGTTGTGGTGTGTGCATAAACACACCGTTTTGCTCTCATTTGCCTTCTCCCCTACAAGGGCTGCAGAGGCAGGCAGATTGATAGCAAATCCTGCCCATTTCCAGCTGAGAAACTTTCCAAGCCTCCTGCAAAGGCTCTTCTAAGAAAAACATTCAAATTAGCCCTAAAGGCAGGTGTTCCTTCTGTACCGCCAGGCCATCCTTGCTGATCTAAGCCCAGGGGGCCAGGAGGGGCTCAGGGAAGGCCTGCTCCCAAAAGTGCCAAAAGGAAGGATGGAGCCACCAGCCTTGGAATCAGGCAGAGCTCTTGCTTGTGAACAATGGCAACTGGCCCTGGGTTACTTAAGCAAAAGGACAGTCCTTGGAAGGAGATGTAGGGAGGGAGAGGGGGGTGCTGTGAGAATCAGCAGGAAGGGGAAGGGGTGGGCAGGACTGGACGTGGAAATACACCCGGGAAGACCCTGCAGGAGTAGCAGGAACTCCAGGCAGGAACAGCCTCAGAAGGTCCTCATGGCTCTGATCAGAGCCTCCAGCTAGTCCCCTGATCCGGGACCTCTGCTCAAGACTGCAGATTCAAAGAGAGGACATCTGATTCACCCTTCAGAGGTCTCATGTCCATCTCTTGGCTTCCCTGGCGGGAGACAGGCACCTAGTATTACTATCCTATTGATGCAGGAAAAATGGATGTGGAGTGAGAGGAGGAACATGTCCCAGGCTTCAGTTGAGCCCCCGGGACGTGCCCCGCCAAGTGTGGGTCCTTGGCTTCGTGCAGGAAAGAATTCAAGAGCGAGCCACAGTTGAATAAAGGTAGATTTATTTAGAAAGATACATCGAAAGGCAAGAGAAAGGCCACGAGATGTGGGGGTTCGGTGCTCAGATTAGAGTAAAAGTAAGTGCACACTCCATAGACAGAGAGTGGGCTGTCTCTGAAGGGGTAAGAGAGAGAAAGAGAGCTCGGCAGCCAGGAGGCGCCAGTTTTTGTGCTCAGTGGCTTCATATGCTAATAAATGGAACGGCCAGTCTAACTAGCCTGGGGAAGGGGCTGAGATTCCTAGGAAGTCAGCCACTTCCCACTCTTTGACCTTTTCTGACTAGCCTTGGGACTGTGGTGGTGCCTGTGGGCATGTTATTCACCGTGCTAACAGGTTACAGTGAGCATACAATGGAGCTCAAGGAAGTCAAATCTCCCACCATCTTGAGCCTCAAGGCCTACTGGGGGTTGAATCTTTTGCCATTCTGGTGTTAATTGTTGTGTTGTTCCTTGAATGGCTGTGCCCTGCCCTCTTCCTGTCTCACTATCACTCAGAGCACACAGTTCAATCAAGAACTAGCTTCCTCTGTGACTCCCTGCAGACTGTGGGACAGTTGATGAAGGGACAAAGGAGGTGGCTCTCAACCCTATTGGGGGGAGGGCGTTGAGGGGTGCTTGAAACTGCGAACTCCTCCCATTTAACCACAGCCTCGGCTCTAAGGTGAATGATAAAATTGTCATAAAAGGAAACCTTTCTTTCCTAATTCACTGGCTATCCTAGGTATCAAATGAGATACCCAAAGTGACAGGTTTTATTTAAGTTACCTAATACGCTGTGCAGAAATAAGGCATAATTAGCATTTTAATAAATCACCTTAATGTTCTACCTAGTATGTCCATTGTGTATTTTCAACTATTTTATAACTTTTTTTTAATTTGAAAGAGTAAGCAAGCTCTTGATAAATACCCAGTCTCTGTTGAAAGCTGGTTGTGGATATTAGAAAAATCTTTATCGTTACAGAGACAATTTCCCCTAAAATTTTCAAATGCCCACAGAAGTGGATTTCTTTCACTTACTTTGCCCAACAGGTTTTCACTTTTCGATACTATGGTTTTGAGGGAAAGAAAACAAAGTTAAGGTTGTTGCCGGTGGATACAACTGGTATTCCAGGTTCTTGTCCCATCCCAGAAAGAATTCAGAGACAAGATGTAGTGGTTTACAAAAGTAGAGTGAGGATTTATTAAAGGATGGATAGTACACTCTCAGGGGAGAGCGGTCAGGCTCAGGTGAGCAGCTGCCCTGTGTTTCTTTGGCAAGTTAGTTACATAGGGTATAAAAATGAATGGGCAGAATATTCACTGGGGAGGTAAGGGCTTGGGGTCGTATTCCCTGATTATCATTCCAACTCCACCTTCCCAAAGTGGGGAGGGATTTTTGTCCTTATTTAGTCTGGATCAGAAGTGTCATGGCATCGGTGCATGATAGGTCCTTCTGATCTGCAAGGCTAATTTTATTGAAATGAGGACAAAATGAGCAAAAGATTACATTTGGTCAGTAGAAACTCCTGCCTTTTCTCACCTTTCTTTATTGGTCTCCAGGCCACTTATCACCCCAAAAGGTGTGGCCCCTTATCAGCCCAAAGGTTCCTGCTTTTCTTTATCTGCCCAGGGACCCCTGCTGCTTACATGATGTGTGGTTTTCCTGCATTTGGTTTGTGCCCCTCCTTTCTGCCCAATTCCTGCCATTTGATCTGTGTCCCCTTTTCTCTGCTCCTATCTACGTATCTGCCTGCTCTAACAAGGTGACTTGTCTGTTGGTGAACATTAGGCAGCTGTTAAATCTAGTTACCCACTTGGCAAGAGTGGTGGTGGTCTCCAAATTGAATGCCATCTTTTTTTTTTTTTTGAAGAATAGTAGGCTTACAATATTGTCTTAGCTTCAAATGTACAGCAAAGAGATTCAGTTATACATATTTTTTCAGATTCTTTTCCATTATAGGTTATTGCAAGATATTGAATATATTTCCTGTGCTATGTATAGGTCTTTGTTGTGTATCTATTTCATATCTAGTTGTGTATCTGTTAATCCCATATTCCTAATTTATCCCTCCCCCGATGCCTTCTTTAAATGTCTTGAGTTGTTTACATGAATTGAGTGGAAATTGTTAAATTTAATGAATTTAATGAAAATTATTAGCTGTCATCCATGTTTAGCATCAGGCTTAAAAAGGGAACATCAGACCAGCTAAAATGATAAAAGAAGAAATTTAAAAATGCCTATACAGGGGGAAGGGTATAGCTCAAGTGGTAGAGTGCATGCTTAGCATACACAAGGTCCTGGGTTCAATCCCCAGTACCTCCCCTAAGAATAAATAAATAAATTAACCTAATTGCCTCCTCCCCACAAAAAAACCCAAAACAAACAAACAAAAAAAACCTAAATAAATAAATGCTCACTGTTCAAAAAATTTTTAAATAAATAATAAATGTTTTTTAAATACCTATACAGAAATAGACTTCGGATTCAGTTTTATTAATCCAGATCTCAGTTTTCCCTTCCCCAACCCCTCTTGGATATGTCTTCCCCCATACACACACAAACAGGCTTGTGCACGCATGCACACACACTATTTCCAGGAGCCCAAGAGAAGCTTTATGGACCCTCAACTTTTATGTCATCCTCAACATGCAGACTATTTTGAATAAAGAATGCAAGCAACTATGTACATCTTTAGATTTTGATTTTTTTTTCCTAAGCAAATCATGGAAACCAAAGCATTTTTGTTTCTTTTTATCCATCACTTATTGTTTTTACTGTTATTTTTGAGTTTGGGTTGTTTAGTGAGAGGATTTTCTAGATGTTTTGAGATGTAATCTGGACTTTTGTTTCTTTTTTTCTTATAGTTGATTTACAAAACTATATTAGTTTCAGGTGAACAACATAGTGATTCAGTATTTTTATAGATCATACTCCATTTAAAGTTATTATAAAATAATGCTACATGCCCTGTGCTGTACAATATATCCCTGTGTCTTATTTATTGTATACATAGCAGTTTGTACCTCTTAAACCCCTACCCTATCTTCTTGCCCCTCCTCCATTCCTCTCCCCACTGATAACCATGAGATTGTTCTGTGAGTCTGTTTCTGTTTTGTTATTTTTATTCATTTGTTTTATTTTTTAGATTCTCTATATAAGGATGAGATGTTATCTAGATTTATTTCACTTATTAAATAATTATATTTCCTACTTACTCACCAATCTTCCTTCCTTCCTTCCTTCCTTCCTTTGAGCAGAATTTTATGTATTTCATTTTGAGCCCTCCTTTCACTACCATATTCCCATCTGTTTGATGAATAAACGAATGAAAAAATGAATACACCTAACTTAACTATTTAAAATCCAGACTCTTCCTTTATCGAATCTTTCCAACTTTCTTTCTTACCCCTCCAACCTACTTTCATAATTCCTATAATTTTGGAGTCAAGAAGCTTTTCAGCCTCTTCAATGGGTAAGTCTAATTTTGCAGATAGGAAAGTGAGACTGAATGAGTAAAGAGAATTTGAATTCTCAGAAAAACTAGGAGATTTTTTCCCCATCTCAGAAGAGTAACTAATGTAAAGAGACACAATGAAAAGCTTTTCAAAGGGTGAAATTCTCAGAAAACTTAAGCTATCATTTTTTTGTCATTTCTATGCATGGATAGCCAAAAGCCACTTACTTTTAAAGTAAGAGCAAATTAATGACATTCGTGATTATTTAGAG